GTTTTTTTAGAAAATGAGCTGTTTGGGTGTCGTGCAGATGAAAGCTTTCAGTGGGCGGTTTCTGCAGCTCTGCTTCCATTTTTATCACAATGCATGATGCAATATGACTGTAAGACATTTTAAACGCGTCGTTGTTGGTTCTTCTTCTCGCTCGTTGGGTGTGTTTCCATTTTAAACGCCTCCTCTCCACCCTTTTATTTCAAAGATGTCCATTTGCTTGACACAGTGTGAGATATCATGCATTACCTAACGTCTGATCATAGAACTGTCCTCCTCCTCCTCCAGGTGCTGGGATACCAATGAGAACACTGCCCTCTGGTGGGTGATCAAAGGCCCGGTGGTGGCCTCCATCATGGTGAGACGGACCAGCGTTCGCTTTCTGTTTGGTGTCACGAACTCGCTCAAAGGAGGAGTTCACGTGTAGTTACAGGAGTGAAAATGATTCTTTTATGTAAACTAAGTGCAAAAATGAATGGATGAGTGTAGAAACTGACAGAACAGAACAACGAGCTGAGACAAACTAGGACTCTCCAGCTGACCGGCTCGTTACTCGCTGCATGTTTGACGCACATCTGTCGTCTTTGTGTGTTTGCCGACAGATCAACTTCGTCCTCTTCATCGGGATCATCATCATCCTGGTCCAGAAGCTGCAGTCGCCCGACATCGGAGGGAACGAGTCGAGCATCTATCTGTAAGTCACAGTGGAGTGTGTGTTCAGAAAGGTCCCGACTGTGAGTTTATACGATTATCCAGTGAAGCAGATTACTGAACAAATGTGGATTTGCTTAAAGAACGAGGCTGTGGAGTGTTTTTCTTATTGTCAGCAAACTTCATGAAAACACTGAAACTCACTGTGATCTGATCCTTTGTCTGGTTTCTACAGAGCTTAACAGATGTATTAGACCTCCACCTGGTGTGAGATTTATGTCCTAAATGAATCATCTCTCATGTCTCTGTAATGGTTCATACACCAGTATGTAGAAGATCTTTAACCAGAATGATGCTTTTAATGATAAAATATAATTATTATTATTATTATCTAGGAAGTTTCTATAGTAAAGCTCATTATTATTATGTCTTGATCCAGACGTCAGATTCTAGTTATTTGCCTGCATTCCTGAACAGAAACATTAGTTTTAGTGGCTGAATGTGACGCTGGATTCATTTCTCAGAGAAGCCCAGTGAGCTGCTCAGGTTCAAGATAAGCTTTATTTGTCACATTTGTACACGGTACAATGTGCAGTGAAATTACAGTCATGACTCGATAATCGACCCTTAACATCCTGAACCTGCTATCCGACAGGTTTTTAGGAAAAACCA